CCCCAAAACCCCAAAACCCCAAAACCCCAAAACCCCATTGCTGGCTTATTTATTGGAGGAATTAGAATTTATTTATTTAAGTGGAGATGGCGACTTTTAAATGTGATGATGGGGAATGTGACGAGAATGCTGTTTTATACTTCCCAGATATGGACAAAGCTTGGTGCGAAATGCATAAACCAGAACTAGAGTGCATGCAAAAAGGAGAGAAAATCAACTTCTCAGACATAGAATCTGAGCTTAGTTGCTTTGAAAAGCTAGTAAATGAAGTTAAGATACTCTATCCAGAAAACCCAGATGAAGGAATCTTTTATAGTGCCTCAATGGTGTCTGCTACTGATAGCCTTAATCGAAGCTCTAATGGAAGATCTAATGAAGAAGCTCCTAATAATATTTCTGAGAAATCGATGATTGATGTAATCCAAGAATTGAAACAAGACCTAGCTAATGCAGCTGATACAAGAGATTGGACACAATGCTTAAAAATAAGAGAAGAAATGCATTTGAAATTATTAAATTACTTAAATGAAGAGGTAAAGCAATACTTAAAGCAGTTAAAAATTACAGTTTGGTGAATGAATCGATGCTGCATTGCCAAATCAATGCTTTTTATAGGATAGTTTTTATGAAGACAAGTCAATTTTAAAATAGTTAAAAATTAGGTCTACTGTACCTTCATAAACTTTATTTTTACTTATCTATAATAATGGGAGCATAACTTAACAGTTACCATATTAATCATTTAGGGAGAAAAATACTGGGGAGAAAATAAAATTGAAAACAATGCAGAAAAAGCGCTAGCATTGGTTAAAGGAACCTGTAAGTGCTTGATTCAAAACGTATCTTTTATGGAAGACTTTTTAAAGCCATCCATACATTATGACTCGAGAAATATTTTAGGCATAACTCTTACTTAAGTGTAGGGATAAATTATCTAGAGTTAACCTCTTCCTTGCTTTGAAAATTCAATGCTTAATGAATTTTATCACATTTTATTCTTTGCTAATGGTGGTAAGGAGAAGAAATTTAATTTTCTTGAAGAATTTTAATGAAGATCTTATTATAGTGATGCTTACTCTTGAAAATCAAGTGAGGGAAAGTGATGTAAATTCCTCCCAGTATCAGATGACCAATAATGAGGTTAATTCTGAAGTAATCGATCCTTCTTCACATGAAAATAACCAAAGTCAGGGTGGTAGATATGAAAGTAATATCTATTTTCCTGCTTTCCAGGATTCAAATCTGATTATCCAAAAACACCCTGACGAGGAAGAGAAAGAGTCTCCGACTAAACCTATTTCTAATCCAAAAAAACTCGATAGTGCCCAGGTGCTAAGTTATATGAATAAGTCACAGAATGCACCCACAAGCTTTGAAAGCTTAGATGGCAATGATCACAGAGGTAACCAGGATACATCCAATAAGTCACAATTTTAGATTGGGGATTTTTTGGAATTCTGTAGGGGGGTAATGAAGAAAGATTTAGAAGATATACTGTTGCTTGGTATAGACCCTTAAGAGCTGAGGGTGCCATTGTATCGTGCTATTTAGTAGTTTTTGCTGTTTTTAGTAGGCTATATTGCAGAAATTTAAGCATTTGGGGCTTTATGGGCAGCACTTTGGACTAAAGTTGGTGATGATTAAGACTAAGTGAAGAGCACTGTTCTAAAATTATAATTTTGAGTTTTATCAAAATCTAGATGCATTATAGAGTCGAATATTTATCCTAAAAAGCATATCACATTCATTAGTCTTTTCTTTCCAATGATCGTAAAAAATTGCTAGTATTAAATGAGCCAAACTTTAAATGAAGATTCTAATGAATTTAAAATAGATATCAATAATCTTCCTTCACTAAACACCTTGGTAAAATAAAGAGATCTGAAAACCCAGAGAAAATGTACATAAGAACACATTCTGCCTTTTAACTGAAGAAGACGATGAGAAGATGATGAACCTTGCCTCCAAAACCATTCTCTATAAAAGAAATAATATTTTTCAGGCAGCAAAACCAGTGATCAAAAAGATTGTTTATTTCTTCAAGAATCTTATACTCGTTAACTTGCCAACATTCGCAGAGGTAAATGCTGAATACTCAGAAAAGGCTATTAGGGAAAACCTTCACACGCCAGATTACAAGGACTTTAAAATCACTTGGAACCTGAATGACCTAGATGATCTTAATTTCTTCAACCAAATAAACAAGAGATTTATATATCTTGGCACTGTGATCATAACGAAAGTCCCATTAAGAAATGACAAAGTTAATGATTTCCTTCGCGATTTCTTCCCGAGTAGCACCAGATGGTTCAGTTTCAACAAGTATGGAGAAAACAGAGATTCTTATGAGAATTATAGAGAAGACTTACTTAAGGCCCTGGAACATACTACAGAGAAAGTAGAGATTTATAATTATAACCTTAGTCAGAAGCAATTTGTGGAGCTCCTTAAACATGCTCAGGATAAGAAAATAGTCCGCTTTGGGAATTGTAAGATTGAACTTTGCCATGATCAAGAATTGGAAGTCAATCTCGATGATTCAATTATAGAAAAATTGAGCTTTGTAAATTGAGGATCTCCAGAGAACGGCGATTGGAACAAAAACTCCTCTACTTTTGAAAAGATTATTAAGAGTCTTTCAAAATTTCCTAACTTCAAGGCAAAATTTCCAGATATTGAAATATCTGAACACGATTTACAATTGGACAAAGCTAAAGCTATCCTAAAAGACTGCGATTTATCTCCAGACATCCTAACCAAGTACCTGTAATTCCCATGATACTTCATTTCAGTCACAAAATTTTCTTAAGGGGTTTTGGGGTTTTGGGGTTTTGGGGTTTTGGGG